AGCGAGCACACCTGATTTCCCATATTCGGGGTCATAGCACCCACGCTCAGCCTCTTGCATTCATTCTTCACTTGCACACGGCGCATCTAGGCGCAAAGCAGATTTTCGGTGCGGTCGGCCGCGGTGTCACTTTGCGTCGTCCTCGTCGTCGGCCCTGATCGTCGTGCGCCGACTCACCTCCTGACTCACACCCGCGCTCGCGCTTTACCTGTGCAGCCTGATCACCTTTGAGCCGATCTGTAGCACACGCGCACGCACTTGCGTCCACAAACGCTGCCATGTCTGCGCACGCTGAAGACGAAGAGTGAGTCCTTTACCCGTGCCAGACAGTTGCTTGCCTTTAGCCGCAGTCCGCCCTCACATCTTGGTTCGTCCACCCGGCCCCTGCGATTATTTTACGCCGTCACAGACCCGACTATACGGAGTACACGGCTGACAAGGTTGGTCTACGTCCCGCGCTCAAAACGAATCGAGCCACTACCTCCTCTCATGCCCATCGCCACCTCCCACAGGTCTCCACGGCCAAGGAGACCATCGAGAACCACTACACACAGCTCAGCATCAGCGTTGAAGAACGGGAACTCCGGTTCGTCGGTGCATCCCCATCAAAGAACACGCACCTTGACCTGCCGCCTACGGCTTCTCATCTCCCGATCGTCAAGCCGACACTGACACTGTGATCTCATCCAATTTGTCCGCACGCGCACAGGAAAAAAGCCCTTGAAGACCGCATTCGCCACATGGACATTTCAGAGGAAGACGTTCGTCCGCGTACTGTCCGCCTCCAGTCTGCTTCACAGCGCGCTGCCTAACGCACGGCACGGTTGGGCTTTAGAAAAACGCCATTCGACGCGAGTTCAACGCTCGCGAAACAGAGTTTCTCCGCCTGCGACGATCAAAGATTACCATTCAGAACTTTGAATTTCTCAAAACCATTGGCCGCGGCGCGTTTGGCGAGGTCAAACTCGCCCAGAAGAAGGATAATGGCCAGATTTACGCCATTAAAATTTTGCGCAAGGTCCGTCGCCTCGTGCGCACGCTTCAGCTCATCCCAGCTCAGCTTCACCCTCACCTCGCATTTGGGTTGGCAGGCCGACATGTTGGAAAAGGATCAGGTGGCTCACGTGCGTGCCGAGCGCGACATCCTGGTTGTCGCCTCCTCCGACTGGGTTGTCAAAATGTACTACGCCTTCCAAGACCGGATAAACCTTTACCTGATTATGGAGTTCCTTCCTGGTGGCGATATGATGACCATGCTCATCCGTTACGAAACCTTTAGCGAAGAAACCAGTGCGTCTGTGGCCCGCGCTGCGACCCGACCGCAATCGCACGCAACCCTTTGCCACCATTACCGTGCGACACATACCAATCTCACCATGTCTGTGTGTGACTGACCTTTTGACTCTGTCCGCTTTTGCTTTTGCCAGCCCGCTTTTACATTGGCGAGGCTGTCGCCGCCATCAACTCGATTCACGATCTCGGGTTTATTCACCGCGACATCAAGCCTGACAACCTGCTGCTGACGGCCGATGTACGTCAAATTGCTTCGTTTGTCAGTCACATGAGTGTACCTCACAACCCCTCGCCTTGATTCGCGTGACCATTGCTTTGCTTTGCCAGGGCCACATCAAACTCTCCGATTTTGGCCTTTGCACGGGCTTGAAAAAGGCCCATCGCACCGAGTTTTACAAGGGTCTCAAGCAAATGGGTGGAGGTGTGCTTTTCATGGACCTGGCATGCGCCCCAGACCTAGCTTCCCTCTCTCTCCAATCGTCAAGCGTAGCCGTGTCCTCTAGTTTACTCATGCTTACCTCGAATTGTGTTGTTGTGGATGCCATGTTAGCCGGCAGCAACAGGGCGAAACGATTGACCATGAAGGAGAAGGTTCGATCATGGAAGGCCAACCGTCGCGCCCTCGCCTACTCGACCGTGGGCACGCCCGATTACATCGCGCCCGAAGTATTTAGCCATCACGGCTATACCAAGTATGTGATACCATACAAGCGTGTGCGGGGTGGTGGTCGGTCAGGGCCCTGCACCCCACGCGACGCACTTTGAGATTTAGCACCCGGCATGACCATGGCTCCTGATGCATGCGTGGGCGTGTGATTCGTCTTCTGCTAGAACTTGTGATTGGTGGTCCCTGGGCATCATCATGTTCGAGATGTTGGTGGGCTATCCACCATTTTGCAGCGAGACGCCGCAGGAAACTTATCGCAAGGTACGCAGAAGCGATTGTGCCGGTCATCCTGGGTGTAAAACTGGTGCAGGGCTCTTGGGTGCGGCTGATGCGTGGCTGGACCTGTGTGTGCCAGGTGATGAACTGGCAAGAGACGCTAGTGTTTCCACCCGAGGTTATCCTGAGCGAGGAGGCGGAGGCTATGATTCGACGCTTTTGCAGTGATGCCAGCGTTCGCATCGGTCAGCACGGCGTTGAGGTACGCTGCAATGTGGCTCGGGTGGCCGGCAGCTGGTCGTAGGCGGGTGTGGCGCTGTCTCTAACGCAAACTCTGTTTGTTTGCATGTGTGCAGGAAATCAAGACGCATCCATTTTTGCAAGAGGTCAACTGGGAAACGCTGCGGCAGCAAAAGCCTCCGATTGATCCCCAAGTCGAGCGAATTGATGACACGAAAAACTTTGACGAGTTTGACGACGACGAGCACCGCGACTACGGTTTGTTTCTGATCAATTTTTTTTTCCCATCGTCCTGTTTGTTTGCCATGTGCCCTTGCGGACCTTTCCCGCGTGGGTTGTCTTCTGGGGGGCTGCGGTACGCATCATGTTTGGGGTGTTGTTTGTCGCGATTTGGCAGGCATCTTGGAGGCTGCATCCGAAGGTGTGAGGGACAAGGACTTTGTGTTCTCGGGCTACACCTTCAAGCGATTTCATGACACAGATGCTGGTACGTATGGTCAAAATGTGGCTGAGCAGGGAGAAGGGGTTGGGGTCACTGGGGGACCGTTGCGGGGACTTGGACAAGGCCTGCCTCTGAAAGCCAGCTTACAGCATCGTTGGCACACTTGTTAGCCTCGGAGGTGCGGCGCAGTGCCCGAGATGTCTCTTCACAGCTGGCTCAAGCCACGGCAGCTTCGTCGTAGGCTAGTTTTGGTGCACGCCAAAACCCGAATCTTTCAAAGTGGCTGCTTTCATGTCGGCCAGTGCGTCGACGATAGGGGGCTGCCTTAGGAATTGCCTTTGGCGCCGCCATTGTGCTTGTTGCCGTACGACTGCGTTTAGATGTGCGCGTGTGCGACTGAACCCATGTCTTTGTGCGGTGTGAGTGTGTGTGCGATGCAATAGAGGCGGGGCTGACATGAATTGTAAGCGAGCTGCAACCAGCGTATGATGTGTGCTCGTGGTTTTCTTGTGTTTTGATGTTGTTTTGATGTTGTTGTGTCTGTTTTGTTTTGCGCCTCATGCCTTGTGCAACAGCTGCACCCTGAATGCCGCCGATTCCAGACAAGTGCCCGGGCCCGTCAACCATAATTGACTGCTTTGGCACCACGTTCCGCATTCAAGAAAGCTCGGTGGCTGTTTTCCATATGAACGACCAACAGCCTGAGAGGCCTGAGACACCAAATACCCGTGACTGGTGTCGTGAACCGGTTTCGGCCTTCACTTGGTACCGCGCGAGCCACCAATTTATGTTTCAATAAACATGTCCGCTTTTTCATGGTCAAAACTATACAAAACTTTTTTTATTCCCAAATCCACACACACTTGAGTGAGAGAGAGAAGAGAGAGAGAGAGAGAGAGAGACTGTGAGAGAGAAGAGAAGAGAAGAGAAGAGAGAGAGAAGAGCGAGAGAGAGAAATTAAATTAAGAGAGAGAGAGAGAGTGAACAATCAAATCAAGAGAGAGTGGGAGGAAGAGAGAAGAGAGAGAGAGAGAAGAGAGAGAGAGTGTGTGTGTGTGAGCGTGAGTGTGTTGGCACAAAGGGCAGCGGGAAGAGCGTCAATCCGGTCAAGTCGGCAAGTTGAGGACAAGAGGCAGAAAAGCGATTCATGCACTGAGCGAGCACCAGCATCGTTCCAAGCCACAAGCCATTGCACACTGCGACCGGCAGCCGCTGCGCGCTGAAGCTACTTAACGTGCCCGTGTGCGTTGCCTTGCTTTCTTTTGTTGTCATCAACGTGCCGTCTCTCTGTCCGTTGCTTGAAAACTTTCCAATCCTCTGCCTAATCGACACTGTAGTGTGCAAGTCTCTAATGTAACATTGTCAAACGGTTTAATCTCTGAACATACCTTGTCTTTACAAAGGATGCTGGTTTGAATCCGAGTCGTATCTCTGCATCACATCGGGTTCCACCACCCCTCTCTGCCTCCTGACCACATAACACCCACACTCTCTGATGTTCTACCCACTTTGCCCTCGTCTCTCTGCCACTGACGCTTTTCATATTTTTCCTAACGTCTTGGTGCCTCTCTCTGTGTATGTGTGTGTCAAAGGCCGTGAGTCGCCTCAAGGAACAACGGCAGCGCCGACACCAGTGACGCCCCTGCTTGACTGCATTTGACGCTGATTTGCGTCGGTTGTTTTGCCGACGCTCTGCCGTATTTGCCGCTCCGTACACTGCCTGCCAGCCACGAGTCGAGCGGTTGGGCATTGGTATCCAGTGACGAACCGGCCCTCTGGTCATTCGCGTCTTGACGGGTGGTCGGTTACACCCCTGCGCCCGCGTGTCCTTGGAGAGCAAACGACAAGCCCACACCGGCTGTCCCCGCTACCAACGCTTCCGCCACCCGGGCTTTACTCTTCTCGGACCCCCTAGCTCGGCCGGCCGTCTTTTCCAGTCGCGGCAAGGAGAGGGCCACGCCACCTCGATCACAGCATTTCAAGAAAAAAAGTTTTTGCGCGACCCTTTTTTTTTTTTTTCCGTTGGCACCCCAAGCCAAGGGTACGTTCCCGCAGGCTTCTTACCGACCTCAAGGGTGCTTCCGTTTCCTCCTTTATTCCTTCCCACACCGCCCTTTGTCTCTTTTTCATTGTCGCGTACCACCAACGACTGCCTTTTCGACCCTCTGCGTCGTCTTTTCTTTTGTGTTTTGCTTGGGGTGTGCCTCGTTTCTTTTCTTTTTCTTTTTTATTTCTTCACCTCTGATGTTATTCTTGTTTTTCCTTGACGTTTTGCTTCAGCACCACTGTTTCTACTTTTCTTTTCTTTTTCTTCTCCTTCTCGCCTCCTTCTCCTCTCATACGCTGTGCTTGCTTTCATCTGGCGTAGGGTTCTTAATTTTGGTTGCCAGTCACCGGTTTGGCACCATCGTCATGGAGGAGGAAACGCAAGTCACCCCCACCACCAACATTCGGCGCATGGTCGACCTGACCCCTGAATTGACCTGGAACTTTTCACAAGTCTTTGGTGATCGCGTGGACCGCGATGAAGACATTGCTGATGGTGCGTGCGTGCGTGCGTGCGTGTGTGTGTGCGTGCGTGCGTGCGTGCGTGCGTGCGTGCGTGCGTGTGCGTGTGTGTGTGTGTGTGTGTGTGTGTGTGTGTGCGTGCGTGCGTGTGTGTGTGTGTGGTGTGTGTGTGTGTGTGTGTGTGTGTGTGTGTGTGTGTGTGTGTGTGTGTGTGTGTGTGTGCGTGCGTGTTTGCAGCTTTCTTTGGTGCGCCCAATGGTTGGTCTACACATCATGCGGTCTCACTTTGTGCTTCTTTTTGTTATTGGGTCATGCCGCATTTCTATAGCCGATATCATCTCGGCCGTGCAGTTTAGCCATGATGGCGAATACCTTGCCACCGGCGATCGTGGCGGTCGTGTCGTTCTCTTTGAACGCAACCAAGACGACGTATGTTTTGGAACCATTCTTTGGTCATCAGAAGAATCATGATCCTGTACTCACCTGCTTGTCGCTCTTCTGCTCCCTCTCTTTCTTTCTCCTCTCTTTGTTTTTCTCTCCCTCTTTTTCTTTGTGTCACAGAGCAACTTTGCCGAGTACAAGTTTTACACCGAATTTCAGAGCCACGAGGCCGAATTCGATTACCTAAAGTCGGTGGAGATTGAGGAGAAGATCAACCAGATTGAGTGGGTTCGCCGCTGCAACTCTGCCCATTTCCTTCTCACCACCAACGACAAGACGATTAAGCTCTGGAAGGTCAGCGAGCGCCCCGTGCGGCTCCAAGTCGCCTCGGGCATCATCGGCGACAACGAGGTCAGGATACCCATGATCCATAAAACCCACGATGTTCAGACCGAAGCACGACAAAAACTCGTGTACGGCAACGCCCACACCTACCACATCAACTCGCTCTCACTGAACAGCGATGACGAGACCTTCCTTTCCGCTGATGACCTGCGCATTAACCTCTGGAACCTGGCACTCGGTGACAACTCCTTCAACATCCTTGATATCAAACCCGAGAACATGGAAGACCTGCAAGAGGTCATCACCTCGGCTCAGTGCCACCCCAGTGACTGCCACGTCTTCATGTATGGCAGCTCTCGTGGTAGCATCAAGCTTGGCGACATGCGTGCCGCCGCCCTCTGTGACCAACATGCCAAACGTACGCTGTTCTGTTTCTGCATGATGCTTGCCCCCCTTTTCTTTGCGACGTTACAGTTGACTTGACTCATCTTGTCCCTCGCATGTTGCACAGAATTTGAAATTCCCGTCAGTGAATCCAGCAAGTCTTTCTTCTCGGAGATCATTAGCTCCGTGTCAGATGTCAAGTTTAGCCACAATGGCACCTACATCCTCTCTCGTGACTACCTCACCGTCAAGGTAGGAAACACCCAAGTGTCAATATCTTGTCCTATCCCGTCTGTTCTTGTATTCTTTCGTTGATCGCACATTCAAAGACCTTGTCGTCTCTTTACCATGAGACTGGCGAGGGGGACTTTTGTGCCAGATTTACTTTGTCACATGAGGGTCGTTTTGTGCGCGAGCTGCCTTTTTTTTAAAAAGCGGGTGGTTAGCCACGGCTCTTGTGGCGCGGGCGTTTTGCTCGTGTCGGTGACTATATTCCCTTCTTTATCCACCTGTCTCTTTTGGAATAAGCAGATGGTGGCGGTGTGCGCAGTGTGTGCATCTCAGCTCACTCCCCATCGTATGTTTGCTGTAGATCTGGGACGTCCGTCAAGAACGGCAGCCCGTGCAAGTCTTCCCCGTGCATGACTACCTCAAGCCCAAGCTGTGCGACCTGTATGAGAATGATGCCATCTTTGACAAGTACGAGGCCTGCTGGTCGGGCGACGACTCGCAGGTCATGACGGGCTCGTACAACAACTTTTTCCACGCCTTTGAGCGCGACAGTTGTCAAGATGTTGTCTTGCAGGCATCTCGCGATGCCATTGAGGGCCCCATCCACATCCTCAACCCTGTTCAAGTGATTCCGGAGGATCGTCCTGCACCCGAGCGTTTTGTGTTCCCCACAGATCGTCTCAACTTCAACCAAAAGATTTTGCACCTTGACTGGCATCCCACCATGCCCATTATTGCTCTTGCTGCTGTCAACAACCTCTACCTCTTTCGTCAATAGTTGGCCTCGTTTGGCCGCCCCAATCGCTGAGGCCAACCATTGGGGCTGTGTGATTGTGTATTTGTGTGGCGCTTGAGCAACTTTTCTTACTGAAAGGTTACATCGCACGGCGTGCGAAGCGCTCATGATTGTGACCGGGCATGCATGCTTTTTCTTTTTCTTCCTTTTTTCCTTTTTCTCACTCCCATCTTCTTTCTCTCCTCCCTCTCTTGCTCTTTTGTGTTGCTAACCCAATCCTTTTCTTTACTTTTTTCTTCACTTTTGAGGAGGGGGTGAGAGTTTGTTTTTGTGTTCACTTGACCCCCCTCTTTCTCTCATTCATTTGTTGTTATTGACGTCTTTCTTGATTTTGGGTGTCATGCCCGTATGTCGTGGCTGACGAGTTTTCATTTAGTTTTGGTGTCGCCTATCATCTTGGTTTGTGTAGCAAATCAAGATGAGATCCGACTTGTGAGTCATGCTTGTTCTGTTCTGTGTATTGTTTCTCCAACTGGATCCTTCTTTCTCTTCATGTATATTTCAGATGCCATCGAAAAAGAAAAAATTCAAAGCAAAAAAAAAAAAAAAAAAAAAAAAAAAACCAATAAAGGTTTCCATGCCAATGGATTTGAAAGGATGATGATACCCAGCCAGGAGGAACACACCCAAGTGGGGACGGCCCGGCATTCAAATGATATGGAAAAGACAACACACGCAGAGAAACATCGTTGGAAACAACAAGAACAATAAAGACATGAGGATTGTGTTGTTTTACCAGTCTCCTTGATCGTCGTGGGCTGCAGCGCGCGCCGCGGGCTCAACCTCGTGTTCGTACTCGATGGACACCTTGGCCGGGCGCTTCTTTCGTCTAAACAACCCGTGCGTGCACAAAAGGTGGTGAGCAAGAAAAGCACATCACACTCGATGTGATGGCTTGAGGGGACAACAACAACAACAACAACAACAACAACAACCAAAAAAGAAACAAACAAACCAACTACGAACCGCAGCTTATCCAACAATGCTTGGGGCACGACTTGCTCATCATCCGCGTCTGACCGATCCTGCGCACGACGCTTGCCACCTATGCATTTCACACCACAATTCTGAATGAGCAAAAAAGACACAAGTCTAAAAAAAAAGTCTGAACCTGGTTGGGTAGACACGAAATGAAGAAAAGATTTGCTGATCTTACCCTTGGCACCCTTGGCACCGCGCTTGCGCGGTGCTGGGGCCGAGGCGCTTTTGCCAGTGTCATCGTCGTCTTCTTCATCATCGTCCTCGTCATCGTCGTCACCTTCACCCTCAATGGCAGCCACGGCATCCTCCCAGGATCCGTCTTCAAACAAGTCATCCAGCTGCTCCTCGCTGTAGTCTGCAACAAACTCCTCCTCATCCTCGAGCTCCTGCTCAACGTTGAGGGCATGAGACAGAACATGAGGACAACCAGACGAGATACGTCGTCAAGCCTGTGCAAAAGTGGCAGGGCCCAGAAGACGCACCTCCTCGTCTTCGTCCTCGCCTTCCTCAATCACTTCCTTGTCATTGATCACATTCTCAAAGGCCTCCTCAGAAAAGTTGTACACGCCCTCATACTGGAGCAAGATGAACAAATGGTCCAAACGACCAAAAGCAAAGGGTTGGATCTCCGTGAGTTGGCTGCTGACCCAGGGATGACTGCCTCAGGCATTTCTCGCTCAACCCCATCCGCCCACCACCACAGACAGGACATGGGCAAAACCACAAATGGGGCGTACCGTGCCCTTGCGGAGGCGATCCAACAATTCCTTTTCAATGGCTTTGTTGATTTTGGCAGCCACAAGAGCCTTCTGTTCGCGTTTGGCTTCACGTTGCTCGACCTACAAGGGCAAAAGAACATTGGAAGGGCATGCATAGGAGCCATGAGCTCAATGGGGGCACGAGCGTTGCTGACGGGCCAAAGGGGCCTTGCAGTTTGATTCCATGACTGTAACAGCTCGACAAACCTTCTTGTTGACTGTCACGAGCTTGCGCTGCGTCTTGAGCTGCAAGCGGCGGGCGCGAATCAGGTACTGGGTCATCTTCGTCAAGCGCTGCTTGCATTTGTGGACGAGGAACTTGGGCCAATATTGCAGGTGCTCGTCGATTTGCGCGAGGGCCTAAGAGCCGATGGCGTACAAGGAGAGATCAGCGGCGTTGTCAAGACAAGTGAGAGCCGCGAGCGAACCAGCAGCCGAAAAACGCCAGAGCGCGGGTGGACAGGCGGGGCCTCACCTGTTCATAGTTGGTCTTGAGCTTGATTTTCTCCCACATGTTGCGCGGAGTATGAGCGCGCTCAATGGTTTTCATCATCAGGTAGAGTTTGCCTGCGGAAGGTGCATGGAAGGGCCGTCGAGCAGACGAGACCATGTGCGTGCAGGTCAGACCCAGCGAGGAGCAGGTCGGTATGCAGGAGGAAGGCGGGTGCACAGGGGCACAGGGTTATGGCGGGCATGAAAACGACGAACCGTCAAACTCGCGCACAGTGGCATACTGGGAGTTGGCCAAGGGGCATGACTGACGGTTGCAGAGGCCTGTCAACAAATAGTCACGCGCAAAGACCACACCATTTCCATGAGCCAGTATAGCGAGCTGCTGCTCAAAGAGTCAAGCATCTCCAGGCTGGCTTAACGTCTCTGCGCAGGGCGGAGGTGCAACCCCGCGGTATGGTTCATAATGCATACCTGTGACGTTGTACTTGTTGCGGCAAAAGGTTTGGTTCTCAGTCCTGCCACGAGATCAAATCAGCACGTGAGCACTCGAGCACTCGGCGAGAAGCAAATGACCCCGCACCCATTGTGCAGATGGCCGAGGCACGCCCAGGCCGCAAGCCACAACCACCAGACAACAGAAGGGCATAAGGCGCGTAGTACAGGACCACGCACTTGACTTTGAAGCTGCAAAAGTTCTGGTTGATAATGTTCCAGATGACTTCGTCGTGCTGCATGGCGCTGGTGGCGAAGACCTCGTCTCCCCTGCGCGGCGACAACGGCAGACCACAGCTGTAGCCAGCAAACGAGGGCCGAAGAAGGCAAAGCCGCTTGTTGGCTTGAACCCTGTCTATCAACGATAGACACGATGGGTCGGAGATGGTCCTTGCAAAAGGGTCAAGCCCAAGGGTCTGGCTGCCGTCGAGTGCAGAGCGCGCTGCCGTCAATGCGGGAAAAGTGGCAGAGGGATGAGAGACGGTGGCGATGGAATCAGAGAGAGCGTCTGACGATGCTCTTGAAGGTTAACAAACTTGCACTATAAGAAGAGATACAAATCAACAAGGTCATGTTCTCAGAGAAGCATTTCCTCTTCAACACACTCGTGGACTTGAGCACACACACACACACACACACACAAACAGACACACGTGTGCAGACTTCACGGCCGAGAAAAGTTTATCGTCACTTCTTACGCTTGCTGTACTTTGTGTGTGTGTGTGTGTGTGTGTGTGTGTGTTGCTTTGTGTTCTCGTGCCCTCTCTGTACACACCTGTACACCCATATGCACACGCTTTGTCTTGCTCTCCCTGCCGCTTCGAGTGACCGGCTGACTGTGACTGTTGCAAAAGCTTCAAATAAAGGGGTGGCGAAGGGGGAGGCTTGGGGATAGGTGCAGCCCATGCAGGATATGACCACCAGCATGACAGAAAAAACAAAAGGAAACAGAACCGACATGATACATAGGGACAAGGCCAGGGATACAGACAAGGCAGACCGGCAGGAGGACAACATGTCAACACGGGATCAAGACGTGAGAAAGGTTACAGGACGAGAGAAAAAGAGAATCAGCCGCAAGACACACAGCCCAAAAGGTCTGAAGCGGCGAGAGAACTCGGAAAGCCTGAGGCAAATCTACATGTCCATGAGCTGTTGGCGGTAAAAGGCCAGCTGTTGCTTGACCGTATTGTAGCGCGACACGTCCACGCCACGCTTCATGGCAAGGCGGTAAAAGGCCTTGAGCTCAGCCCGCTCCTTGGCAACCTCGTAGCTGTAGTCACGATGCGTCAGGAGGTAGTATCCAAAAAAGCCTGAGATCGATTTAACCAAATCCCCCACCTGGTATGAGAAAAGATGCGCGCAAGAGCTTCCAAACGGGTTTCAGGCCAGCAAACGTACAAATATTGACACCCAGACCAACAAAGTAGGTGACGGGCTCCATCAGGTCCCAACTGTACTCCCACCTGCGCACACGTTTCGCATGAATTTGAATGTGTCAGCGAGTACGATGTTCACAAATTGTCATGGGGGTGATAAGCCCTGCTAAAACAAACAGAATCTTCAGTAGCAAACGTACCAAGTCAGGCGGCCCATAAACCCGAATCCAAAGCCCAAAAAGGCCAGCGTTGCCCAGGCATCCTTGGACGAGAACCACATGGCACGGCGCTGCGCGTGCCCCGGAGAAAGGAGCCCAACAGAGACATCCGCATCAGCATTGTCTAAACGGCAAGAAAAAAAAACTCGTATTGCGTTCGAGAATTCCCTTACCTCGGCATCGCGGCGAATTTCCTCCATCGGCTGCAGCTCGTCCCGAAGTTGTGCGATGCGTGTCTTGAGCTGCTCACGATGCGCTTGCTCCGCCTCCAACACTTGCACAGAGTAGGACAATCGGTCAAGCATCACGGCCGTCTCCGAAGCCGTTTGAGCCGCATCTCCAAGCTTCCAATCCGCCATGGCATCAACGTGAATGGTTGTACCGTCCATCTGGATTTGAAACGGCTCCCGCGCCACCTGCAGCATAAACCAAAAAGTGTAACCCAAGGACACGAATAGGGTGAGGTTTATCAAAAGCCTTTACGTCGGCGGAGCAGGACGAGCAGATTAAAGAAGCAAAAAAGTCAAGTATAGTCAAAAGCAACCAGGGTCCCAACCCTCTCCAAAGAGCATCAAACGAACCTCGGCCCACATGGACGAGGCAGCAAAGGCAACGTCATTGTGGCTCAAGATGCGAATCGTTTGCACAGCTAGAAGCATCAGAGCAGGGACAAAAGGAGGGTGAGCTTGAGTTTATGCTGTGGTATGATTCTCTTGTGTACGCGAGATTGCACAGACTTTGGTCTTCTTGGCGCACATCGCGCAGCAGCTGGCCCACGGTTTGACGAGGCGTGATGGTAAAGGCGGTGTTGCCCACCGACGGCAGTGGCAAAGTCAAGGTGGCCACGCCGAGCTCGTTTCTAACCATGGCACAAGCAAGCGCGAGACAAAGCGTCAGCAGGGCTGGGCACGCCAACTGGATGGCCCCTTGAGCCGAAATCATCAGCGGACTGTGCGTTTTTAGGCAAAAAGTGCTGAGGGTCACTCAAGGTTTGACACTTCTTGGCGCAAAGGTGAGGGTTTGGACACGCCACCACGCCGCCTTGGTCCCCTATGTGCGCGCAAGCCAACAAGGTCCCCGACTCACAACTGCATGTGCGTGGCAACACCACGAAGAGGGCGGGGTACTTCGGGTTCTTCCTCATCGGAAGTGTAGCGCAAGGTCGCTTGCGCGCGAATCAGTGGCTGAAAAGAAATGTGAGGAGGACCGCAAGGGGTGTGACGGGACCGAGAACAAGCGCTGGTGGAAGTGGCCAGACTCATAAAGGACACATGTCAAGAGTATGGTGTGCAAGATCAAGACATACCGCTGAAAGGCGACCTGACCACTGGAGCGGGAGCCGGGCGCAATGCAGAGTAGAGCTCAGTGTCGGCACCTAAGAAGAAAACAAGATTTGGGTCAAGAAATCGCTCATCCAAGACCAGGACTAACCCAAGTGTGGTTCCAGAGCCATGCACCAATCAGGCACGCACCGAGGCTCGAAGAGCAACAAGACGGGCGGCCGCAAACATGGCCGCTGATGAGGAATGGATCCCTTGACCCCAAAAGTTCTGGCAGTGTGGTGGCCAAACACAAATAAAATAGTGGATGAGCCCAAGGCGAGCCAGTGGTTGGATGAGTTGCAACACGGGCAGTCTGGCCAAGTCCACTCGCAGGAAACAGGGTTAAAGTCCAGGATCCATCGCCCGGGCGACCGCGATCGTGGATGTCGTTCCATCTACCTCGCACCACCTCCTTCCCTCCCACACACCAGTATCGCTCTGGATCGAACAGCACCGCACCTCGCTCTGGCCCCCTCACCATACCCCATCACAGAAGACAAAGACGATACCCCAGACAATCAAGATCAGATCCAGCCAGACCAGTCCCTCTCCCCTCCCCTCCCAAAACTCCCTAGCCGCGACCACAGCACCGCTGCCGTCGTTGCCGCTGCCGTTGCCGCCGTCGCCGTCACCGCCGTACACACACACTTACTGTGCGCAAAAACACAAAATTCCGCAATACACCGTCGATCCTTCAAAATAAAATTAAGATCAGTCTGTAAACTTTCAAGTCCAAATTGGATTTTTCTCTAAACTTTTACACTTACAGTCAACCCACTGAAATCTACGTCCCCTCTATTTTTTGAATGAAAAAATTCCACACGTACCGCCGATGCCCTGTGCGAGTATTTCATTATTTTGAACATAACTTGGTTGAACTCTACGATGAAGTCATGGTGCGGCAGTCATGTGAAAGGTCGTACAATGGGCTATTTTATGGTACCCAATTGGGCTGTATACCTCGAATGTTTCTCCATGTTCACGTGCGAACAAACAAAAATTAATTTTTTTTTTAGTACGGAAGACTTGAAAGCTCGGCTAGATTTAACGTGCGATACTGTTGGGAACTGGGACTTGTTCAGTGCTCGTGTGTTAGCTAAATATACGAACAATCGTTTCCAGAGACCCCGCACTGTGTCTTTGTAGAAGCAGATGCGTTGAATTCTACCAGAAAAATAATAATTTTTTTCAATTTTATTTATTTTCAATTGCGAACTGGTTGACAGCCGGTTTGACCAGGCGTAGGTAGGACAGTGTCTCGATACAATCGGGTAGCAGGATCGCAGGCCTGCAGGATATGTTCAAGCTCAGTGCAATCCAGCTCACTTTCGGAAAAAGGTGTGTAAACTCGAGATGTTTCCGATGATGGCTCCTGAATAGTTGATAGGCCCCTGTCAGGTAAGTCACGAATCCAAAAATCGAAAGATGGGAATTTGCCGTAACCTGGCTTGCTGTCATCTTGTGCGCGGTCGAGAGACGCATTGACATCACCACAAGCCGCTTCTGAACCATCTAGGGTTTGGGCAGGGCATGTTGTATTTGCAGTGGGGGCGTTTGAGGCTTCCGTGTGACAAATGTCCACAGTCTCTAACCTCGCACCGCTGTCCAAGGCAGCCTGAGCTGACGCAGCTGTGCTCTCCTGCATCGCTGGTGTTGTGGGTGGTGCCGAGGGCGCGGGGGCATCGGTTTTAGCAGCAGTTGGAAAAGCCGGAAGGCCCAATTTGTACTGGAGGCGCCTCAAAAGATCTGGTTTATTTCCAGTGACGGATATGCCTTCTGCTCGGCATGCTGCTTGAAGGTTGCTTTTGCTGGTGCCTGGTAGGTTCAGTACTTGCTGTATTTGTTCTAGACTAGCGCAGAGAGTGGCACGGCGTTGGGCCTTGTCAACTTGACCTGCTGCGCGGTCGCTGACCTGGCGCAGACGCTGTAGTGGCTCGTCACGCACTAATAGTCCGTGAATGCCCTCCACCTTGGCCCGTTTGCTCTGGCTTCCAGCGGCAGCTTGACTCAACTTGTCAATAAAGCGCTGCTGGTGTGCTGCTATGTCGATGATCTCATGTTCAAGTTTGTCAAGGCGCTTTAAATCCGGTTGAGCGGCTTGAATGTAGTCGTGTGCCCTTTGGGCCCAACGTAATAGCGTGCGCGGTGTGCTCGTGGGGTCAAGGGAGTCAGGAGGGGACGCAGACGGGGGCAGAGTCTGTGGTGTAATTGGAGGAGGAGAAGGGGCTCGGTGTATCTCATCCACGGTCTCAGGAGGTGGCTTGTTGGACATCAAATCCCAACCCCAACGCGTTCGGGTGATGCCTGCCGCCTTCCACGCTGCGATAATGCGGTCAGGATGACTGCTCTGCTCGTGAATGGCGTGATAGAGAGCGCAGCACTCTTCTGCAGCCGTTGCAGCTCGACCGGCAGCAATGGAGGTCATACCAACCAACTTGCGAATGCGATCACGAGAAACATGTTGATGCCATTGATCACTAGGGGAGAGACAATGACTTGTGTATGGTGGAATTAAAAAAAGAAAAATGTTGATCGAGCGCAAGTATGCCACAACTTCGGCCGAGATGCGCGTTCGATGGCCGTCGGAAATGAGCAACAGAGGCTCGGTATGTCCAGTAAAGGCACGAAGTCGACGACAAAATGCTAAGAATAGACGACGAGTGATCCAGCCCGTCTCATTGGCACAACTGGCAAAGTGCTGTAGCTTTGTGTCCGTCACGAGCGTTTCCGGCAGGCTGATGGGAGCGGCAATTGTGTCTTTAGAGAGTGTGGCACGCTTGTGGATGAGCAGAGGTGGCGCTAGTGCTCCACCAAGGGCGATGGCCATGACAAGAGTCACAGTTCGGTTGTAGGTCTGCCCCGCCATAGCGCCTCGATCGATGTGCCGGTCGCTGCGAGAGTAAACCCGCAACGATCCAAAACCGGCTTTTAAACCGGGCATTTCGTCCTATTAAAGGTATATGTCCAGTACAGTGTAATGTGTGTGGACAAGGCGATTGTCACAGAGGTATCCAACCAGTCGAAGTGTACACGAGAACATGGATTGAAGCAAGGCGAAGGAACAAGACAGAACAAGACAGAAGGAGGGAAGTGGAACGACCGAGGTCAAGAAGGAAAATGGTACCGATCCAGGGAGATCGCTCCCATTTATAGCAGGTGGAAACACACACACACAGTGGAGACAGAGAATGGACTATCACACTGAAGACAGGTGGAGGCGATATCAGCAATCTGTTGGGACCAACAGATGCCACAACAAGATGATACACCAAGATGGTACAGCAAGATGTTACACAACAAGGTGGGACAACATCAAGTACCAGAGGACACACAACGTGGTAAAGTATACCGTCTCAGATTGTGCCTCTAATACTCCCCTTCAAGCTGAGAACGGAAGAGCATGTCACACAAACGACGATGGCTCGGTCCATTGAGCAGCTTGGTGAGAAGGTCAGCAACCATGTCCTTGGTCCCGCAGAACCGGACATCGAGCTGGTTGCGTTCATACCTCTCTTGCACAAAGCGATACTTGACAGCAATGTGCTTGGAGCCCGGAGAGTTGGCTCCGTTTGTAATCATGTGGATCGCCGCCTGGTTGTCACTGAACAACACGGGCTTGAAGACGGCGTGTGAGAGTTCACGAACCAAATGATCAACAAACATAGTCTCGCTGGC